CTATAAATACCATCTGGCGGAGGCTATTAGTGGGTTTGGGGGTTGTGAAAACCAATGGGTGTGGGGCTTGTAAACACAAATTTGGTTTGGAGTTTCTATGAACATACCATTGGGTTTCAATCAATACAACGTTTAACGGAAAACAATGCCTTTGTTGCAGAAGCGTGTCTCTTATTTCGCGGGAAAACCGTTTGAGCCATCATTTCGGGATCCCCGACTGTTGAGACACCTCCAGGTTCAGTCCGGCCGTTATCTAAAACAGATGAATGGCGACTTAAGACTATTTGGTTGTTTCAGTTTGTTTGTTTGTTTTTGCCAGCGCTTTGCTTTCGGCTCCCTGGAGTCATTAGTTCGACGCTTGTTGGGGGCTGCTGGGGGGCGGGTGTTTCATTTCAACGACTTTGCAGGTTGACTTTGCAAATTGTAAAACAAGGGGTCGGCACATTTTGCAAATGTGAAGTGGGATTGTGTTGTAAAACTTTGTTTGCTTAATACGGCTGTCCAGAACAGATTGCTGTGTTGAGTTTGCCTTTGGTCTACACCATTGGAACTCTTACTCAGTGAATAAAGATGTGTCTGCCGGCTGTTTCTCGAAGGCGTTTCGCGTGGTTTCCCTTAGGCCAGGAGATTTCTCCTTTGAGTTGCCGAGTGCTCTTTACCCAAGCCTTTGGTTGAACAGGAATCCAACGAGCTTCCAAGTATACTTGTTTGAAGGGCTTTAAACATCGCCCTGAAGGCCAACTGCCATCTTGCGTTTGGTAGGAACGGCTTTTTGCCCTGGGCAACAGCAAGCGGATGCTTCTCGTGATGTTTTCAAATTTTCTTTTTGGGACCACGCCCCAATGCCTTCCACATTTCATTTTTTCCTGCGGAGGTGGTATCAATCAATGCCCACAACCCTGTGCTGGTCCCCAGGACCCTCCCCGAAACAGTGAAAGATCTCGTGTAGTTTTCAGGGATCACCATGACTTGTTCTCATTTGGGAATGAGCTGCGACCCAATCAGCCAACTTCTCAATTCCAAATTCCTTGCCACGAATCGACCGGATCTGAGACCTTTCCAAGAGGTGAACCTTTCACAGATAGGCTTCGGTCCTGGTCAAATCGGAGGCTGATTTCGGAACAGCGGAAGCCCGTGAATCCTTTGCGGATTGCTCCTTCGGGGCCCGAGGGATTTTGGCCTCTCAGTTTGCTCTTGGGTTTGCCTTGGAAACATGTTGAAACATGGCAAACGTTTGCTTTACAAGCCAAATGTTTGACCAACGCAATGTCTTAATTGTGCTTTGATCTACTTAAGGTGGGGTTGTTTGTTCTTCCCGAGCGTGGTGTAATGCAATTTGGGATCTTGTCAGACCGCCTTTGCAGTGCTCTCTGAAATCTTTATGGGGGCGAATCAACAAGTCCCAAAGGCGTGGAACGGGAGCGGATTTGCATCCTCGGCACATCGAGGGAGCACTAAGGTTCGGTCACTTGAAGAGGGACGAGAAAAGGAAGGAGCTCTGAATTACAACCAATTGAGGGGACGCCCTCAATTTCCCACAAAACCAGGGGACAAGCCCTAGAATGTCAACCACGAAATAGGGGACGAGCCCTGGGGACAAGCCCCGAATGTCCCATGTCCTCTTGGGGAAGCGGTTTCGCTCCATATCGAAACCTTCGGAGTCTCAGGTGCCTGCAGAGAACGGGCCCATGCCGCTCTTCATCCGCGGGCTCGGGCCTCAGATCTGTGGGGTCGAAGTCATCAGCCCATTCTGACTGGACGCCTTGGAGATCACCCGCTTGGGTGAGAGTGAAATCATGGACACAAACAGCGGCAACTTTTCAGTTTGAGGCCTGGCTTGGGCCATTTGTGAAGATGTCTTGCTTCCATTGCTTTTGGGAGCGTGAGGATGTAGACTTTTGTGAAGAGACCAAGGCTTGGCAGGTAGCGTTTGGTTGGCAAAGATCGACAGGCAGCCGCCGCCGCAGCTGCCGACACCCTTTCAGGGCGGCCCGCCGCCGGGGCCGCCGCCGCGGGGCTTCCAGGCACGGCTCCGGAGGAAGAAAAAAGCATGTGTCTTTGGTTGGGGAGCCTCTGTTTGGTTGAGTTTAAACGAAATTTACAATTTTGGGGGTTGCCCTATTTGGAGACAAATACATGTGTTTGGGCTGTTCAAGGGCAATCCGCAAGATCTTTACCTGGGGTACCAAAGGACTTCTTTTTAACAGCCAAGCTGTATATGTACATAGTCACGTACAGCAGATATCTGTGCGTGTTTGTATGTTTGTATCTATATATAGAGAGAGAGAGAGTTACATGCATAGGGACGGGTAATATGATACATACATACTGTGGATGGACAACCTCCTACTCGGCACTTTCTTCCTCTGAAGACAGAACCATTCGGACTTTTGAGCACTTTGGAGCTTGGCAAGCCCAGAATGCTGAGAGGTCCCTAAACTCTGCTCGAACCACCAAGTTCTCTCTGCAAAGCTCGTAACATGTCAATATGTCAACTCATTTGTAAGACTTACCTGAACAGCATTGAATTTGCTTGAGAAGTCCACAGCTATTTGCAAAGGATCCTTTCAATACAGCATGCCCTTCTCAAAGCTCTTGACATTTCAACATGTCAACTCATCGTGAACAACATCTGCTTGACAACTCCAACACTATCTGAAAAATCCTTTCAATGCAGAATCCTCCCGATTATGGGGGCTGAACATATATGCACACCAAGATGTATATATGTATGCATACATACATATGCGCAGGGGGTGTCTCAGAACTGGGGGGGGAATGACATGGGTTGCTGGTACTTTGGGGTCTTTGGGACCGAGAGCAATCATGTCGAGAGGTAAGACGAATCTCCCCCCCCCCCCCCGCCGTGACTCGATGATGATGTTTCTCTGTTCTTGTTGCCATGTTCCAATATGTATGATGGTTTATGTTCTGTGCTCGTGGTAAGGGCAAGCAAGATGGGTTGCCCTGGTAGGAAACATGGACCTTGTACCTGCGGTCCATGTCCTGGTTCAATTTTGACCCACCGCCATTTGAGCCTCGCACTTGGATCGCCCCTTGCCGGATTCGGAGCCCTGTGGCCATCCCAAGCTGACGAAGAATGCCAGGATCAGGTTGAAAGAAAACCCACCTGTCCCAGAGGTCGCTTCCGTTCGCTTCACACTATGTCTTATTTTTTGCTCTTGGTTTGAAAGGGGATCTATTACCGCTTGGTGGCTCCCAGCCATCCTCTTAGCTTTTTAGCTTTCTAGTGTTTCCTGGGAATGTCCCATTTCACCCACTAAAGGGGGAGCTCAGGGTAGCCCAGACCACTTCACCACAAGACCAAGTTATGTCTTATTTTCCCCTGAGGGGGATCTATCACCACTGAACATAGTTGTTTCTATTTTTTCCACGGGCCTTGAGCAAAGGGAAGCCCAGGCTGAGAAGTTGTCCCATCGAGGCCCCAAAGCCCGAAGCCTTTGTCAGGTGCCGGCGCCTGCCGCAGCCTCGGACGCGAACCCCGAAAAAGGGGCGACCTCAAGGGTGGTGCTTTTTTTTTTTTTGGGGGGGGGGGGTGTTTCTCCCCCTCAAAGGGGGTGCTTTTTTTTAAGTTGTTTTAGTTTTCCTTGAAACTCACCGGAACATGGTCCCTTTGAAGAAACGCAAATCCAGATGGAAAGGATTTGTTTACTCCTAAACGAGGGTTGCCTCACTTTCTCTCACCCCTGGACAGAGCCCTTGCATGATCACCTCCGAACTGGGGCTTCCTCCAAAGGTATGTTTTGGATCAAACATGGACAATCTGTTTTTTGTGTACCCCAGATTTAGGCCAATAAAACGATTCCCTCGGCAAACAACTCCAATATGGATGGTTGGAATTAGTTCGGTGTCTCGGCGTTTGAACATGGCCATATGGATCTGTCTCAAACTAGGTGCACACTCTTCTTTTTTTCTGAGACACGAACGGAAGCCGATTTTTGAGAAACACTTGTATATGGTCATGTACGGCAGGCACATGATTGTACCAATCATATTCATGTAGTCCAACACATGTACACACACACACACACAGCTTGTCTCGCGGATGTCGGCGCACTCAGGGCGGTATTCCGATGGTACCTCCAGCACCGCCGCCACCTCCCAGAGAGGTGAGGGCGCATCTACTTCCAGCAGCTTAGCTTTTGCCTTTTGCAAAGTTTGGTTGTCAGCAATAGTTGAAACGAGTCAAAAATTGACTGCTATTGAGCAACGGATTTTTAGACTTTAACTTGTTGGTTGAAATAAAGGTGTTTTCCACTAAACCCCCCCCAAAAAAAGTGAGACACTTTTTGCCGGGATGTCTACAGCAACCAAGCAAAGAGAAGCTTCAGCTAGGGCCGTGCATCGGGGCAAACTGTGGACTTAGCCCAGGCAGGTGAGTCTTTGGAGGGGAGTCCCGCGAACAGAAATGACTTTGGTCAAGGCTGCCAGCTCTTTATTCCCGTCATCTGGAGATGTGGTCAGGGCAATTGAAGTCATGGACAAAATTATGGATTCTGTACTGGTCTATATTTTGCGGAGGACGAGATGGACGGCAAGGACAACCCACATCAGTTGTTTTTCTCCAGGCATCATCTTATGTACCGTTTTTGCCATGGACAATATATGAAGGAGAGGCACTATCGGCTCCCCCAGCAAGGGTTTCAGACTCTTCCAAGAAGCTGTTCTTAGCCTTTCCTCAGGGATTGGAGGGGGGCTTTGTTTTCCCCCCATTGTTTTTGCTATCCGAATGGCAATGATGCTGTGTGGAGCAAATCCGTTCGCACCGAAGAAACCACGGCTGAAACCATCGTTTGTTGGCTTTTACCGGGGAATCGCTCCCGCAAAGTCGGAGACCAAGCGCAAGATGTAGCGACACGGGGCTTGTGATACTGGGGATTCCTTGAATGGTAGCTTCCACATCGTGGTTTATGAGTGAAAGGTTGGTGAATTCTGGTTGGCGAATTAAGGTTTGTGCAGTCGATCTGGTCACTCCAATTAGTTACTTCACTATCCTTAGTTCACCAATCCTGCTAAAATAAGGGTAGCTCACTAAGAATTAGGGAATTAGCATTGGTAATTAAGAATGGTTCATTAAGAACAGAATAGAATAGTTCATTAGGATTGTGCATTGGTAATTCACAGTGCATCCCCTAGCCATGAATGGTGAAGTCTGGTTTCTCCAGGATCATGTCGGATCCGTGCCAGGACGACCAGGCCTTCGTGCGAAGGATCCGAATGACCTACATGGACAAGGCCGGTGTCGTGTGGCCATTTGGCCAGGGATAGCAGCCGTAGGCCATCCGAGGAGAGACACCCCAGAAAGCCCAGAAAGCCCAGCGCTTGGCCGCTTATCCAGGTCACCAAGGACCATGACAAGCACGACCTGCTGGAGGATCTGGAGGAGAGGGCAACAGGTGCTTGAGCTATTGCTCACCGGGTGGACAAGTCATAGGTCAGCATCCCCAACTGAAGCGCTCTGAAAGATTCTTTGCTGAGCTGTTCAAAGGCAATCCACAAGATCCTTACATTGTGTTATTTGTGGGAGGGGGTCCCTTTGTACTGCTTTTCCAATAGGGATTGTGGATTGGGATTGGCCAATACTGCATTGTGAACAGCCCAGCTTGGAATCAACAAATCACCTGACAGGTTCCCATTGGCCTGGGGCAATCAACACCCTTTCAGCATGGCCCAAAGGACGGAGGTAAGCCTAGGCCTTCATGCGGGGGGGTCCCCCCCTTGCCCTGAGCCACCATCAAAACCTGGGTAGATGAAGGTTAGTGCGGGATAATCCAACCCTTTTAATTCTCGACGTGTGAAAGCAAACAGGTGAGGTCGCCCTTTTAGTTCTTGACATGGCACCATGACTCGTATGGTCCTCATGAGTGTTTGGATGCGAGCCGCTCTCTCTCTCTCTCTCGCCCATTGCTGCATGGAAGCTTGCGGGCTGTGTGTCAAATTTTTAGGCTCCCCTCTTGCCGTTCAGGGAAGCCAAGCTGAAAAAAATCAGCGTTCAGGAGGGGGGTTCCTGGGTCGAACCAAAATTTCCAGAATGCATTTGGAGGGCTCCGTGAGGACGGTCAAAGGGCCTTGGAGCGCGAACCCTTTTTTTCGACACACAGTTTAAGCCGGCCAACTTATGTGACGAGTGCGGCCGTTTTCAGGAGCTGGGAAAAGAGACGCCAGGCGCGAACGTGCAGTCTTTCCATTGGAGGTCTAGACCTCCAATGGGGCATTTGTGTTTTGTGGTTTCTCAACCTTTGGACCGGGCGAAGGAACCCTTGAAAGCGAGCCACGGGGTGCTGCAGTAGGTGCCAATTTGTCCCTTGGTCACTGGGTCTATCAGAACTGCTCCGGAAGTTTGGTGGGGTGTGGCTTGCCCCCGAAACCAGATCTGGGACCCGGGATGAATCCAGGCTTTGCACCTTGGGTTTGTAACCTTACATTCCATGCTGACCTCTGGAAAAGCGCTGAGGTTGGGTCTACGATACCATGACCATCATGCCGTACCTGGCGTTTGGGTCCCAGAGCCTGCATCCAGAAGTTCGCATGTGTTCCTTGTGGTCTCCTTAGCAACTTCCCATGTAGCTTCAAAAAGGCACGCTCATTCGGGTCTTTTTGTTTTTTGAAGGGTGCCTTGTCCCTGAACAAATACTCATTTCAACCTTGCCGAGGTCGAGCACCTTCACTTTGGCCTCCATTTTCATTGTGCTGCAGTGAGCCCCCTTGGCGGAGCACGTGATGCGAGATGGTGCGTTGCTCGAGATCGTGCGTTTGCTTGACTCAAGCGCTTCAGGTACGGAATGAAGTTTCAAACTTTTCAAGAGGAGATGTGGTGGAAGGGATCTTTGATAGGCCGGCTGCAGATGCATCTTCGAAATTCCACAGACACTGCAAGAGTTGCGTGCGCAGACACAGAATGAGTGTCATGGGGCAAGTGTGAGAGTGGAGCCTTGCAATGCGGGTGTGAGGGTACCCTTTTTGTTGAGGGTACCCTTTTTGGGATTGAATGGTTCGAAGGGAACCCAATAATGAAACCAACAAATTTTGCCGGTCTCCCGTTGGTGGACACGTACCCATGTATGTGCAGGCCTGGGATTGGTCCTGGGTGTATTGGACATAGTCCGCGTGGTGATGATGTGCTGCCCTCAGAGCGCAGTCGGGCAAGGTGTTGTTTCCATGCCTGTGTCCGCCTTGACATCAATCATGAAGGTGGCGCCAAGTTAACGTTATGCGTCTTATTTTTTATCGCCTCCAGCTCAGGCCGCCGACATTTCAGGCCTCCTTTCTCACCCTTTGGAATTGTCCCATCAGAAGTTTCCCTGTGGAAATGTCCTTTTGTAATTGTTGTTTAGGTTTTGATATGTTCTTCGGAATTTGACATTGGAATTCTCCCATTGGAAGTCTGCAATTCCAGTTTCCCATTTGACTTTTCCCTTTGGAATCTTCCCGTTGGAAGTCTTGCTTTGGATTTGTCCCTTTCAGATTTTTGCTTGGGAATTCTCCAATTTTTCTCAATGGAATTCTCCTGTTGGAACTCTCCTTTTGGTTTTCCAATTTCTCCCATGGGAATTCTCCCATTCGAACTCTCCCATTCGAATAATCCCATTGGAATTGTCCAATTGGAATTGTCCCTTTGAGCTCTCCCATTCAAATTTTCCCCTTGGAATTCTCACATTGGAACTGTGCCAGGCTGCCATTGGAATGGTGCCATTGGACCCCTTTTTAAGATACACCCAAACTCTGGAAACGCGTGTTTCCGTTGGTCTCTGCACGGCGTTTTTGAGGACTTTGGTGGAACTGCGCAAGTTCGAGAATCGCCGCAAGGCGAAAGACGGCCAGTTCCTCCCCAGGCAGGTGAGAGTTTGTGCTGTATGGGTGTTTTTTTGAGGCTACCGCTTTTGAGTTTATTTTAAAGAGGGAAACCACCGCCCCCCCCCCGGGTGTTGAACATAGGTGGCATGGGTCGCGACCAGTTTTTTTCTAAACATGTACCAAAACCATTTTTCTTGTCCAACAGAACACCTTGGGGCGAAAAGTTAAAGGCTCAACTGGGCTCCTGGAAATCTCCCGTAGGCCAAACCTATGCTTAAAATGAGATGGATTGCTCCGCCTTCCGAGATCGGGGGTTCGGAATCCGGTTTTGCCCGGATCCCGTTTCTGCAAAAAGGGCAGTAGGAGATCCAGACATGGTTTCCTCAAGCAAATCACCTACGGGCCAAGGACTTGGTGCCCTTTTGTCGCGGCCACCTCAATTTAGTTTCTCCTAATTATTATAATTGGTGGTTTGTTCTGGCGGTTTGGGTTTTGAACCCTTGGTTCTTGCAAAAGCAACTGGCTAACCTGCAAACCAATCCAATCCAATCCAATCCAATCCAGCCAGGCGCATCCGCAGAGAAAACGAGAAGGACTACCAACCAGCCCCACCTCCGCGGCTGTGGAAGCAGGCATGGGCTGTGGAACCATTGCTCTTTTTGATCTGGGTATGGGTCAAAATTAAACAACCAGGGGACCGCAGGTTTTAGTCTTTGGTTCTATTTGCCAGGGTTCCATTTTGGGTACCTAATTTTGACCCACAGCCATCTTGTGGACAGGAAGGGCTCCACTGACGGGAAGGGTTCTCCGAACCCCTTCGAAGGTTCGATCAAAACAATTCGAGCGTGGCGGAGCTTTGGTTTCCTTTTATGTTTGGCAAAGGAAGTTTCCATGGAGCATTCAAAATTCGATTGATCTATTGGTCTTACTTCCCTTCTTTGTGTGTGTGATGCTGCACCCACATCTTCGGTTCCACAACCGTGGACGGAACAGTTTCATGATGTTTCATGGCACTCTCTGGCTGAAGTCTGTTTTGCGGGCCGCTCTCCGTACGGTGTTAACCATTAGAACCACCCTTCAGAAGAAAAAGAAAAGCGCCGGTCACGGTTCTTCCGTGGCCACGCCTGGGATTGGGTTTGATGCGACAAAACCCTCCCAGTGTCCAGGCGATCCGATCCCGGCAATTGAATCGAGAAGCCACAGGTTGGGGCTCGAGGCCTTGGGCCAGCCCCAACCATTTCGATTTTATCACAAGGACAACGCACCAAAAGGCCAAAAGCCGATGAGGGAGGTGAAGGTGGAAAAGGTCTGGGACCAAAGGCACTTGTCGGTTTGTGGCCTGTGGGATTCTGAGGCCATGGTTACAACGGCAGCAATCGACAGAGAGCAGCTTAGGTAACAAAAAGAAAGGCTTCCCAAAAGACACATCCAACAATCATCTGTGTTTTTGAACATGGCCAAAATGTATCCTTTGAGCAAGCCTCTAAACAGCAGACTTGTGACCAAGCAAGCTTGACGAGCACTGTGCAATTATCACTCTCTTCGTTGCGAGACTTAACTATGCCGGATTTTGTTGCCAATTCCAGCTTCCTTGTTCCCTTTTTAGCCTGCAAGTTGCGCCCAGTATGTGCGAGGGGTTTTAGAGGATTGGTTGAGTCAGACGCCCCTCGTCGGGAATGGAGATTGGGAATGAAGCGGCGGGAAGATTTCCTGGAAGCCCAGATGGTTCAGGTTGGGGTCATTCCAACTCTCAACCTTACTGAGAGCCAGAGAGCCGGCAAGTTTGAAGCCCGCTGGTTGCATCATGCGACTATTTACTTATGCCTTTAAGAGGGAGGAACTGTTCAAACTGGTGATCTACTTAAGTTAAGCTTCCATCATTTCCCTTCTCAACCCGCAAGAAGTGCTCACTTTTTGGAGGGTCTATAAAAGTATGCTTGTGTGTGGGTGTCTTTCTTTGAGGGTCTTGTGTTCTTTCTCCCAAAAACGGATCCACCCACAGCGTTCCCCGTGCCAACCGAGTCGGCCAGGCCGTTGCAGCGCCACCTGTGCCCAAGGGCCCGGCCATTACCACTGCCCCGCCACGGCCGGCCTTCCTGCCGCCGCCCCCACAGCAGCCGGCTCTGCCGGGCCCCGGCTGAAGCCAAGTCAAAGTTCTCAGAGCAAAGGTCTACGCCGCAAAGAGGCACAAACACGCGGCATGCACAAAATTCAGGCGCAACATGCCACAAGGAATATGGATGGAAACAAACACTTCCACGAAACACATTCGCAAAGAGCAAGAGCTCGGAACGGAGTTGAGCAGAGCAGGGTAGAGCGAGCTGGGTCAAGGCGCAGACATGGGAGCTGAGCCCGAGAAGCCTGAGATCTGCTGCTTGACCCAGTCTTGCCCCCCCAGCACTCTAAGTTGCTCAGCTTGGCTCGACTTTGCTCTGAGCAGAGTTCAGCACAGCAAAGCGGTGCTGAACGGAAGCAGATTTGACTTGAAGCGAGCAGATCTGAGCTGACCAAAAATAGCATGAATATCATGATACCCAGGAAATGACTCACATCGAATATATTACTTGCAAGATAGACCACAATAGGCACGTTGTGTGTTTATAGTTTTGGATTTTTTATAGAAAATAATTTATTATGTTAAAATTATTTATATAATGAACTTATATATTTGTATTTTTGATTTTATATATATAATATTAAGAATTATTTTAGGAAGGATTATTCGAAATAATATATATATATATACACTTTGGATTTTGGAGATTATTTCGGTTATTTTTTTAAAAATGATTTATTTAGGAATATTAAATGGTTAATTCTGAAATATATATATTTTAAGGCAAATTATATTTTACAAATTCTGGTTTGGTTCGCTTTTATATGTATGTTTTGGCACAATGGACGTTTTGTAGTAATCTCGGAGAAATTGGAGCATGGATAAAGTGTGGATAAAATATGGAAGAACCATTTACGGATATGGAAAAAACAAAATTGGGAGTGGAATATTTATTTAGGGAAGTGGTTAAATCATGATATTTCGTCGAATGAAAGCTTAGCTTGAAAGGCTTGTAAATTAATATGGCGTTTATAGAGCTTAATTACGCGACCTTTTCAAAGACAAAAGGCGATTCTAAACGAGCCTGGTTTGCTTACATGATGATTGGATTATGGTCGTGATAATTTATTGGCTAACATCGAGGTCCACAAATGGTTGTCTAAAGCTATTGAAAATGCGGGTTTTTCTTTTTTAGGTCCTTCGACAAACAGTTAATTAAAGGAATTTGGAAATTCAGGGAATCAAATTCTGATTTGGCTAATATGAGCTTAAGGCCTATATAATTGCCAGTTTTGCTTATTAGTCAATATGGTATTCCAAAAATATGGTTTTATTTATTGGCCAATATGGGAATCCAGAAATAGCTCTTTAAAGCCAATGAAAATATGTATTCTTGTCACAAATGGCTCTTCGACAAACGACCGTTTTTGAAAAGGCCTTTTGAATTCTAGAGTATATATTTAATATCTATTATAATAATAATAATACATTTTATTAATATATAATAAATATTATTAAAACCAATATCAAATTAAATATCGAAATATATTTATTTATATAGAATTGAATTATTATATATTATTATATATTATTATTTATTTTATATATTATTATACATTATTATATATTTTTTAGATAGCCAAAAATTATAATAAAACCATTTTTAATACAGAAGGGAACATGATTTGTGAGCTTGAGGTTCAGGTATTAAAATCGCAATTTGGGTATGCAATTTATATGTGTAATTTGGGATGTCGGAGGAGACCGAGGTGTTAGGGGGCTTCCAGCTTACGCTGCTAGTAGAGGGCTCGTTTTGCGAGATTGATGGCCGAATGCTAGGAGGTGCTGTGTTGGGAGAATGATAGCCGGGTGCTAAGGAATATACAGTTTTGGGTGCCAATAAGGCGGTGTTTTACGAGCTTAACGGCCGGGTGTTACGGGTTCGCGATATTACAGGACATGCCGCATAATAGGAGGTAGTCAGCAAATTGCATGCCCCCCTAACACCTAGCCAGCACTCTCGCAAAACAGCACTTTCTCGAACACCTCCACCAACAGCCTAAACTGCATGCCCCATAGCACCCGGTCATCAAACTCGCAAAATAACACCTCACTAGCACCCCAAATTGCATGCCCCCCCACGCCCGGCCATCATTCTCGTAAAACAGCGCCTCCCCCAATACCCCTGTCAATCTCGCAAAGCGACACCTTCACTAGCACCTCAAGCTGGATGCCCGGCCGTCAAGCTAGAGAACGTGCAATTTGGGATGTTGGCGACGGCCAAGTGCTTAGGGGGGCCGGATGTTAGGGGACATGTGGTTTTGGGTGCTACCGCTTGCGCAAGGGGGCATACAATTTGGGGCGCTGGTGGATGTTGTTTCGCGAGCTTGACATGCGGGTGCCGGGGTGTATCCAGCTTTGGGCTGGTGGAGGTGCCGCTTAGCGAGATTAATGGCCGGGTGCTAGCATGCAACTTGGGGGGGTATTCTGGTGGATAAGGGGGCATGGTGGTGTTGGTATAGGTATTGTTTTAGGATGTTTGAGGTGCTAGTGAAAGCGTATTTTTGCCAGATTGATGATTGTATGAAGTTTGGGACGTTGACGCAGATGCTATGTTTAGGGGCGGTGTTGTTTAAGGTGCTAGTGACATTGTGGACTCAATTTCAGAGATTGTCGGCGAGTATTAGGAGCATGTTTGGGGTGTTACGATTATAAGCGTTATAATATGATTGGAATCAGTGCGATATTTTTATTGTTAATAAAATTAATATATTTTCAATTATTTGGGAAATATAAAATATTTAAATTATTGGCAAACATATATTAGCATAAACCCCAAATAGTACACCATAGTCACGAACCATAATGCAGTATTATAATAGTTCCCGTAACATTATATTAATGTTAATAATATAATTATAATGCTAAGAATATGATAATAATATTAATAGTATCGTAATAATATTATAACAACTTAACACCTATGTTAAATAAATGCGCAAATAATGTCCTACTAAGGATAACAAAATAATAATATTAAGAGCATTATGCTAAAACACTAATTATAAACAATTCCGTATTATATATTCGGCAAACAAATGCAGAAATAATATCTTAATGAATACAAAATATCATAATAACACGGATAAAATTATAATAATATAAATAACATTATAATATTATTAGCAAAATCATAGAAATTTAAATAGTATTATTCAGATATTAAAGATAAACGAATAATAATATCATGATCCTAAATCATTTTCTAATAATTTAATGAAATTTAATAATATCTTCATATTAAGATCACCATAACACTACCGTAACACAACATCATAATATTCCAATAACATTATAACGTAATTAACAACATTATAAAGATATAACAACCACGAACCATTATGTGCCACAACATGGGCGCCACATATGTAGCCCTGTCTTAAGAGGATTCCCTTTTATAGTATTATGTTTCTAAAGAGAATCCAGAAAAATCCTATAAACCAATCGAGACATTCATGCTTCAGTAGCCCCAAAAAGGCAATATTTCAATTCACGACTGGGCAACAGAGCCGAGCGTTTAACACAGACTTAATCCAAGCGTTTAAATGGCAAGCGATTTGCTCACTTCAAACTTCCAAATTGCGGATTTGTGTTTCGGTTCCTTACGATTAAGAAATCCGCCGTCTCTTTCTCCGTACTTGATATACTTCTTTATGTGTTCAGCATACAGAAAAAGAGAGAGAGAGAGAAAGAGAAAGAGAGAGAGAGAGAGAGAGAGAGAAAAAGAAAAAGAGAAAAAGAAAAACAGAAAAATAGAAAACGGATTAAAAAGAAGAGATATAGCTCGCGGCAATACGGAAGGGTGCCATCTTTTGCACCCACTCGCAAAAACAAGAACAAACAAACAACAAGATACATACTATATATTATTAAATAGACAGATGCGGACATGCGGAACTAGACATAGAAACACAACAAATACGGATATATAAAGACAAACAGAGACAAACTAAGACAACCCGAGCAACAAAGAGACACAAACAAACAAATAGAGACAGAGAAGCACAAATACTAAAAGAAACAGATTGGGATATACAGAGATGCACAAAGATAGACAGAGAAAGACAGAGATTACACAACAAGGCACACGGAAACAGACTAAGAGACACAGAGAGAGGCAAGCATACGGAGACACCCAACACGAAATTTTCGAGAAAATTCGATTCGGACAAATTTCCAAAATTCCCCGAAATTCGGCCGATATTTTTTTTCGGAAAGCCGCTAAATTCTGAAAAAACAACTGCGGGAGTAACGTCCGGAAACCTAAGAGCCGCGTCGCCGGAAACGACCCAAAATTCGGACAAATTTGGCTGGGTTACGCCGCGAGAACTCTATACAAAATTAACAAATTTCGGCAAAATTTCGGGGCCTTCGGGCCGCACGAAAAGGCAAGAACTTGTGCCGCGGAGAAAAGACCGAGACAAACATAACCGCTAGCGACAAACACTACGATTACCAATGCATGGGAAATGCGACCTCGAGGCTATACCGATATATAAGAGAATAATTCCATTTAATATTATTATCATTTATGTTTTTCCAATTTGTTAAATTATATAAATTAACTATTTTCCAAATTTAATTATATTTTAATATATACATAAAAATCACAATATATTACTAACAAAAACAAACAAAAACATAAATTATATCAATAAATATATAAATATTTATTATTTATTTCTATGTATTTTTTTCCAAAAGCATAACGAAGGGTTCTTCCGTTAGGTTTACTTGAGTTATTCTTATAAGAGTCATTACAAAGTGTCATTATAAGGAATCATTATCATAAAAAATCAATGCAAGGAGTCATTGCAAGGAGTCGTTGCAAGGAGTCATTGCAAGGAGTCATTGCAAGGAGTCATTGCAAGGAGTCATTACAAGGAGTCACTGCAAGGAGTCCAGTACAAGTTGCAAGTGCAAGGAGCCAAGTACAAAGAGCCAAGTGCAAATTACAAGTGCAAGGAGTCAGGTGCAAGTTGTAAGTGCAAAGAGTCAAATGCAAGTTGCAAGCGCAAAGAGTCAAATGCAATTGACTTGCGAGGAATTAAAATTTCTTCTTAAAGCGC